AAGATGAAGTTTTTGTGAACTGTCACTCATGCTGGTGTGAGCTTTTGGTAATGCAACTGTCTTTGAGTTGGACGTGCTCCTGTTAGCAATCCCTCACCTACCCTCCTGTATGAAACTCCAGTAAACTCAGCATTTGCCATATTGGTCTTTAGTAGAATCTTTACTTTAATCTGATTGAGTGAGTACAAGTTTCTTGGTTTCTCCCCAGGAAAAGTGACACAACACGTATAAGAAGACTCAGTTCAAATTAAAGACAGCAACACACATTTCACACATTGACAGTATATGTAGAGGATATGTCTCCCTAGGTGAATGTCTCAAATCGCAGACCCATCTAATAAAATAATGAAAGAAGTAGCAAATAAAAGCAGATTGTTAAAATATAAGCACATTTCAGGAATAGTCTAGCTATTAAAGTCAGTAAAGACAGAAAATGACTGTGTAAGCTAAAACATTAATTTGATGCCATTAATGTCATATAAGATACTGATAGGCTATTTATGGGAAGCATGTGATATGTTCCCACATTTTACAGAAAGCAATTAACAATGTATACCTTTTTTTCAGACATGAAAGGTAGTGAACAGCACGCAGGGGATGAGATAGATTAATGGCATGCATGAGTCAGCTATAGGTTTGCAGACCCACTTCCTGGAGAGGAATAATGTCATGTACCAAACAACTGGCATTAACTGTTTCCATTCTTCAGTTACCACAAAGCAAATGTGCCACAGCAATTCAAAGTTTGGTCTGGATTTGCACAGTAACACTGCATGCACGTCCATATATGTTGGTCCCCCAACAGGAGAATTTGAAGCAGTTTGAAAATTTGGAGCACTGCTGTTTTTAGACAGAGAAGATATATTTTGCATGGTCAAGCCCCGAATTCTTTAATGTTTGAAGGCACATTCTGTATTTTGTGTCTTGAGATCCTTAAATATGTTTACAATTTAGAAACAAAACTTATTTTCTATACTCTTCCATGTTATGAAACTAGATTTAGATTAGATTTCATTGTTTCCAAATTGAATGCTAACCCTTGCAATTATCACTAAGTAGATACTTCGAATAACTTGGAAGTGATTTAAACAATTGCCTACATAATAGATAGGCTGCTTTAGGAAATTTTTGCAAAGCTACATTTTGTAAGTAGGGTGCCTCTCCTTTTCTTTTGAAGTCTCATTTGTCAAAGTGAATGAACTTTAAAAGCTTGTTTTAAAAGTTAAAATTAAAACATTTTTTATTTCTGGAAAATGTATGGCCATATGTTTCTTATACATAAAAACAAAACTGCATATTTTCCTACTTATTTTAATTCTCTGTGGTAGCTTTTGTTTGTATATAATAAAAGTCCTATGTCATTGCTTTCCTCGAGAATGAAAACACAATATTTCAAAGCTATGTTATCTAGCAATGACACTATTTAAATGTTGGAAATTGTTACCAAGGAGAGTTATAGAATACACATGTTATAAATACTATAAAAACTAGAAAGTAATATGTTATGTGACCTCTAACTGTTGTGAAATACCATGATCAGAGTATGGCATGGTTGTTGCTGTCTTAAAATCATATCCTCCACAGAAGTCATCAAAAGATTGTACCTACACTCCTTGGATGAGAGAGAGAGCTCAGAAGATGATACTCAAATTTTGACTCCTTCAAAAAGATATATTATATTGTAAAAGTAACTTTTATTTGCCAGATATAATTGTTGTCTCAGAGGCTTTCTCCTGAATAAGATCACCATTTCTAGCTCTTTTTGAACTCTGGCTGGCTGGTTCAACTCAGTTGTTCTGGCTCAGACTCCTCTCCAAATTGATTCAAACTGGCTTCTGACTGAATTGCTCTACTTGACCTCAAACTAACTCTGGTAATCTGTTCTAATCTTCTGGCTCCTCATTCTCTGGGTAATTCTGTCTTCACCTGCAACCTGTCTCTTGTATTAAAAAAAAAATACTTCTCCCAGTAAAACTGCCTCCTCTCCCTCATACCTCTGCACTGCTCTCTTGAGTCCTCCTTTTCCTGTATCTTTTGGTGGGAGTTGGGCATATCCTATCTCTGATTCATTTTGTCAAAACTTTCTTTGATTTGTCACTCTGTCTGCTCCTCAATTAGACATCACTTTCAAACATGACATGACTGCTTCCTTCTATAAACTAACTTTACTTTCATTGTTTGGTATTAAAGGTTTGTGCTAAGGGCATGTCAGAATTCCTGCCAGATCATAGTGTAATCGATGGCATTTCTGCATTCCAGAGGGATTATATAGACCAAGAAGGTCTTTGGATGTGATCCTTTGCCAAAGCAGCCATATTGGATTAAAATTTCTCTACATCATGTGTTATCAATTGTTGGTGGGTGTGATTATTCTTTCATGGTATAGCTACTACTCAAGTTGCCCGTATTCGTGTAGGAAAACCCTTACCCATCTTCCTGTAAGTAATCCCAGTTAAACCCTCTGGTTCACCACGCTAGACCAGATATTATACATGGCAGATTTATGACACTGGAGAACTTTGATTGCTTCTTCTACTTTAAATCCACACTTTCTCTCTTCCTAGATTAATATAATCTTCCCAATCTTGCAATATTTCATATGTGTGTACTGTAATAACAGTACTATATGTGCTACATTTTAGGTCTTGATTCATGAATATACACAGGAGTCTATCAATGAAGCACACAGCACTCAGAATCAGCCTTATTCCTTCCCCTGGGACAGGCCCCTGGTTGAATTGCTTGATACTAGTCCCCCAAAGCAACTTCTCTTCCTACTGGTTCTTAAAGCACAGATATGTCTAAGGCTTTTTTGAATGTCTCCTGGTATTGGTTCACATTTGGTTGTACTAGAACTTCATGACAGAATTGAGATCCTGTGTCACAGCTACTCTGTGGAAAGTTAACAGGCCTTGGCTTATTCCGCCCCATGGTGAATCGGGGCCTTGGGTAAGGTGGGATGCAGAGGTACCAGGGAGTAAGCAAGGTAGTATGTGGGGATTAGTCAGTAAGGCTAGTCAGTTCCTGGGTTGAAGACTGCTCCCACAAGATGAAGGACATTATCACAAGTCATGAAAGCCATGGTGTCAGTGACAGCATCACCTCTGACAGAGAAAGCCTTCAAGCATCCTACCTGTCATCCCCAATACCCTTACGAAAAAGCTTTCTTAGCTGCCAGAATGAGTAGGATCCAGATTTGAAACCCCTTAAAAAGGAAAGCACCGAGGAACTCAAACTTTGAAGAGGCAATATAATTACAATTTTTAATGATTTGTTTTTATTTTAAGTGCATTGGTGTTTTGCCTGTTTAAGGGTGTTCAATCACCTGGAGCTGGAGTTATAGACAGTGGTGAGCTACCATGTTGGTGCTGAAAATTGAACTCAGGTCCTCTGGAAGAGCAGCATTCAACCATCTTTCCAGGTCCACATATTTTTTTCTTAATTTTCAGCAATAGTTAACATTGAGTATGATAGAATAAGAGATTTACATAAGAGATTCACACAATGGATCATGTCATGAAAAACCTTCCTTTTATCTATCTTTGGATCATTGCAACACCCATCTGTCTTTTATGAATGCACTCCTCTTTTAGGAATACATGCTTAGTATCAATTGTGTGCTACCTGTGATCATAAGCAATTATAGAAAATAGTTCCACTATGCTCATCAAACTGTCGTTAAGTTTAATGGCATGGTTTCCTTTGCATATATGAGGAAACTGACGCTGTGAAGTACGTGGTCACAAAGCTAAAATGGAAAATGAGCTAATTACAGATTTGTTTTGGCCCAAAGTATGGTGCTTTTTGATGATGCATGGATAACACTGAACGAAGTTTTGCAACCAGAGACAAATTGTTATTTTGATTATGAGTTGGCAAGGTCAGAGACTTAAGTCACCTTTGCCACCTGTTGATCATCCAGTGAACCATGGCATGTTGACATATTTTTAATTATTGCTAGACTTGCTGAAATCTTACAACCAAGATAAATTTGCTTAAGTTTGCTTTCAAATATTTCATTGCTTATGTTAAAAATAGAGTGGTAGGTATCAAGATGCCATGGGAAAAAGAGGACGGTTGGAACACTGGATGACCTACCTCATTATAGACTCTCCAAGCCATATGTGGCTATGAAAAAGTGATGACAAAGGCATGTAATAGAACTGTCTGCGCCGGGCAGCGGTGGCGCACGCCTTTAATCCTAGCACTTGGGAGGCAGAGGCAAGCGGATTTCTGAGTTCGAGGCCAGCCTGGTCTACGAGGTGAGTTCCAGGACAGCCAGGACTACACAGAGAAACCCTGTCTCGAAAAACCAAAAAAAAAAAAAAAAAGAAAGGAAGGAAGGAAGGAAGGAAGGAAGGAAGGAAGGAAGGAAGAAAGGAAGGAAGGAAGGAAGAGAACTATCTGCTATAGACAACCAGAAAAGGGACTTTGGGGGCAGGGAAGAAGTCATCAGTGGCAGGGACAACTTCAAAATGCTTTTGAAAGGCAGAGAGGATCATTGAAATGTGTGAATTATTAACATGTGAGGGGAATGTTCTAGAATAAAAATGAATCTTATATTTTAAAATGTCTTTCCTGTTTCTCAATTCTTCTACCAACTATTTGAGTGTCCATCTTGTTCTCTGCACATTCCAGTTGCTGAGAAACTAACAGACTTTAGATATTTGCATGAGAATTAACTTTGGGAGGGGATATTAAAAACACAGCCTGAATACAAAAGAAAAACAAGTGAGATATTCCAACATGGCACTTTCTGTAGGGAAAAGAAACAAAATAGTAAAAGTCACTATGAGACTGAAATATTTGCAAGTCTCATGCTTGATAAGGACCTAATTGTGAAAATATTAAATCTTAACTGTTCGCACGGAACATGCACAAAAAGAATAAATTAAAGTAGCCATTGTCTTGTGAGTGTTCTGTACAGGCAAACAAATGGAAATTAATGTTGTAAACACCAAAATAAATTTGAAATCGAAATCAGTAACTGTTACAGAAGATGAATTCACATTTATTTGGCTATTGATTTCAAGTTTCGGTTGACAAAACAATTGCTAGTTATTTCATTACGTCTTCATCCACAGAGAGCTGCGCAAGTCTCCTTTTCTTGCAATTGCGGTTTTATGAGATTCTTCTTACATTATTAGTGTCATCCTGGGATCTTCCTAATACTAGCTGGTTTTATTCATGGTTTTATGCATTCCTATTACTGTTTAATGTAACAACGTAATATCTTCAATGCAATAAAGATGTTGAAAAGCTACATGTGAATATTCATCCTATAGTTGATACAGTAACATATTATGTGAAGGCAAGGCAGAAGTTCAGTGAGAATTATTTCATGATGTATACCTTGATTGATGTGTAAAATGAGAACTGGATATAGCCAAATGAGTTATAATTAGAAAGTCATCTACTTATTTTCTGTCTGCTGTTCCTTCAACTTTTCTTCCTCCTCTTCTTCTTCATCATCATCATCGTCGTCGTCATCATCTGAATCCACGATCCAATAATAATCTCGAAACATTTTTGATGTTGGACTAGTACATTCACAACCCCATCTTTTCTTCATAAACATCTGCTCAAGGGTGCTTGGTGTAGTGTCATCCTTGCTTATAAAGTACTTCCAGTCCGTTGGGTCATAGGCTTGCTCAGTGGTCTCTGGGTTTTCACCTTGAAGTTCAAGTTCATTGGGAGCAGTTTCTTCCCCTATTGTTTTCAACTGGTTGGCTTTCAGAAATGGTGATTCATACCTGGTGTATTTGTTGGGTCTGTAAAGATCTGGTGGGGTTTGGAGTTTTATAACAAAGCTGGATTCCTGTTTAGATAATGGTGTGTCCTTCTCTTTGCTGGCTTTCCTACCATACTTGATGTCAAAATTACACAGATCAGTTCTCCTGACAGATGACTCTTCACAGCTTGACTGGTTGTCATATCCTGTGTCAAAATGATGTATGGAGTCTCTATAGGTCTCAGCCCATTCGTCATTCCCTCCTTTGTATATGTATTTGTAATAAATAGAGCTAAGCATATCCTGTCCTCTGTGTTTGCCATCATGGAGCCAAGTGCCTTCACATGACCAGGGAAGCTTGTGATGGTCGAGATCGAATTTTCCTTGAGACTGTTTGGCAGAGGTGGTGGGCTGCTTGGTTGCTTCCCTGTGATCTTCCCAATACGGCCACTTAGTTTCCAGCATCCGTTTAGACTTCGGTGTTTCCAGCATTTTAATTAATATGTCTGCGGAACTATCTTCTCCTCTAGGCCACGGAGCAAGCAGCTGTTGGTGGCGGCTACCTATGTCATCCCAGAAGGTTCTATGTGTTGGCTGGACTGTCAAAAGCGGATATAACAGTCCTGAATCATCAGCTGACTTCTGTTGATTCTTGTTGGCGATGGGACTACATACTCCGCGAGCAATAGTTGGGAAAACTGTACCCTCCATGCTGCGTGGGGTCAGCCCTTCACTCCATGTCCTGCTTTTCCTGAAGTCATCTGACCGTTCCTTACCATAGAGTCGGTGCTGGTTCTCCATGGAGGTGGGGAACCTCAGCTGCTCTTTCTTGTGCTTTGAAAAACACTTGGAAGAGTCTTTCCACGAAGACTTGGCAGAAGCGCCCTGAGATGTTGGCTTTAGTGTCCGACGGGCCTGGCTCCCTGGCAGCCTGTGGTCTCCCATAGTATTTCTGGCTGTGGAGCCACGGCCTCTGCCTCTGCCGCGGCCTCAGCCTCCGCCGCAGCCTCAGGAATTTGTTTCATTGAGGCCACTCGTTGCTAGGAGATCTTGTCTGAGTACCTTGGATTCTACTATGACAAGCAAGGGAGTGTCCCACCAGCAGTCTCGTCCAAAAAAAAAAAAGTGCCTTATTTATTACAGTCTTTTTTGATAGACTTTCAAATTGTTTCTATATTGACCTATATTTTAAAGAATGTTTCTATGGAAATGTGTATTAAATATTCTCTTATATTTAATGAAAACAAGATACAATACATTGTGTGTGTTTGTGTGTGTGCGCGCACATGTGCGCTCGCGCGCTCTTGCGTGCTCGTGTTAAGTCAACTAGGCTGGAACAAGGGACTCTTCCAAGGACACTAGTGTGCAGTGTGAAATTTTTTATTATAAAATACGTGAATTTTTGGAACATTTGGTTGTTGAACTATACAGTGAGTATGTTAACTTTTTGGAGTATAGATTCTGCTGAGAAAGGCTATGGCAAGCAAAACATTTACAGAATTATTGTATTGCAAAGAATGTTCTAATTCATATTTTCTCTGAGCCTTGCTGTAGGGCTCAATGATTTCTCACAATTGGCTGCCCATTTTCATTAATACGTAGATGATTCTGTGACAATAAAGTTCTAATTTAGCTAAAAACATATTGCATGCAGCTGCCCATGGAATTTTTTTTTTTTACCTTCCCTGGTGTAAGCTGAGCAAATGTTCTGTAGTTTCTGCCTGAGGATTTTGTCTATCCATGAGAGTGATAAAGCCTGTCTCTGGAATGTCATTGATGTTGGAGATTTGCTGCTCACTGGATCAACTCTGAAACCATGACGGATTTTGAAAGCACAGATGTAACACTGAGCTCAGTTGGATGCTTTGTTTGCTCCCTGGAAGTACCTGGAAACTCTGAATGACAGGTGCATTCTATAGCTACATGGACATTAACCCATACCTTGGTGGATTGGATTTATTCTTTGCTTCACTTACATACTACTCTGTTTGTGCATCTTACCATCACCTCATTTATTGAATGCCATCCTGACCTTAAGTGCTTGGTTCTGGGCATCCTAAGACATATATTTTTTTTCTTCTTTTCCTTACTGTGAATGTTCTAAATTTTATATTGGAAATATCCCTCACTATTATGCTGTACGTTTGTCTGTTTTGTGGAGGAATGGATACAAACCTTGCATGCTTTTATAAAAGTTGTTCTAAAATAATGTGAGGTTTGGAACATGAAAACTAACGCCAGTAACTCAGTCCATTAACATTCAGTAGTGACATGAGTTACAAAGTCTCTATAACTTCCTTATGAAGTGGAATTTTAAGGACACAGAGCTAGGTCTTTCTAAGTTTTATAGAAGCATCTCAACAGTCCTTACACATGCTATTTCAGGCACCATGATTTGGAGATGAAAAGCCTATATGTGGAGAGTTAGTTCTCTGAAGTATACCCAGCCTGGCAATGGAAATAGGAGGGAAAGATAATGATATTTGTTTAACATAGAGACTCATTTTGAAAAGGAATCCAACTTTTCAGATTTTTACCTTAGGAAATGTGACATTAATAAAGAGAAAAACATTCTCGTGAGTAATACAGCCAGTGTTGGAATGGATGCCTGTTGTCTCTGGCCTTATAGGAAGCTCAGAATAATGTGATGTCCTTGGTCACAGAAGATCCATAGGCAGCTCAGACATCAAAGGAATAGACTCAACTGTCAAGGTCAGAAGGTGGGGGTCTGACCTGGAAGGATAAAGAATGTGTAAAGATTACATTGATACCCTCTTTCGATGTAATGAATTTATTATAAATTTCAGGAAATATTTTCTCTATAAAATGATTTTATACTATATTCAGTACTTGGAAATATTCTAAGCCCTCCTTGTGTTTCCGATGGGCTGATTTTGTTAACTTAAATTTAAAATATAGGCTACTGTGCTGGTCCGTTTTTGTCTACTTGACACATTTTAAAGTCACATGTGAAGAGGGAGCCTCAATTGAAGAACTGTCTCCATCAGCTTGGCCTGCAGGCAAGTCTGCAAAGCATTTTCATTTTTTTAATTAGTGATTGCTATGGGATAGCGTACTTCCCTGTGAGTGCTGCCACCCCTGGGCAGGTGGTCCTGGAAGTATAAGAAAACAGGGTAGGCAGGCCACCAAGAGCAAGCCAGCAAGCAATATTCCTCCAGGGCCTCTGCTTCAGTCCCTACCTCCAGGTTCCTGCCTTGAGTTCCTCCCCTCACTTCCTTCAGTGGTGGGCTATGACCTGAGAGTTTTAAGCTGAAATAAATCTTTTCCTTTTTAGTCATGATGTTATCCCAGAAATAGCAAGTAAACTAAGATGGAGGCATGCCCTTGGAGGGGACTGTGACTCTCTGTTTTTTCCTCTTTCTATTTTGCAACAGAGAAGCAAACTGAAACAACAGTTAAACTCTAAAGTTGAAACACTCAAAATTCTGAAAATCAATATCATAGAACAATACAGCAAAATTTTAAGTTGATTTAATTAAAAAAAAATCACCTGCCAGTTTTGGCTTTGTAAGAGAGAGAAGCCAAAATTAGGTGATTTGAAGTATTTCATAAAGAATATATTTTATTCCACCTGTTGGTCCTAAAAATATGGTAGTTTTTTTTTTTTACAAATAAACTATATTCTGCTCAAAGGTAAACATTTTTAAATAGAGCACGAAGATATAAAGATGCTCAATGAATTACAAAAAGATGGGGAATTGTGAAATTAGAAGAGACATTAGTAGAATATTCATAGTGCATAATAAGCGCCCAGACCAATTAGCTAGTTGAGAAAGAATGAATTTCAGTCTGTATCCTTAGGTCTTCCTTCAGTGTGTGAATGATAAGTAGTGGTGATCAGTATCCACAAGGTCCACAGTGAATATCATGTCCTGTTGTGTTTTTCTCTTGTGGTGTTACATTCCGTATTGAATAGAAGTAGACTCTGTGTGACCAGCAGGATGTGATAGATGTGGTACTCTAAACTGAAGGCTTGAAACTAAATCTTAAGAAGAACTGAAGCTTCTGCTTAAGCCTTTGAAACACTCACCTTTGGGAGAGCCTTAGGATGCATTTGCTGAGCAGTGAGATCAAGCAACATGGATGTGGTTAGATGGTCTAGTCATCAGGCCCAGTTACAGGGTCTGTCAACAACCATATGCTGTCACCTTTATGAATGTCCTGTCTGTGAGTGTAGTGTTCTTTGAAATTTGCAGTCTGAGCCAGCCTCTGACTCTGAGTTCATAAGGGTTTCGAAGTGAGAATGTAACTTACTAAGGTGGCTCAATCCTCAAAACAGAAAGGAATAAAAGTCACACATTGTTTTGAGCCACTACATGTAGGGATGGTTTGTTGTGCAGAAACAGATAACTATCATTGAACTAGAACTGAGGAAAGACCCAGAATTCCATTCCTTTACTCACAAATGTGACATATAGCTTCTCATATGAACTATTTATCAAAGGAAACATTTTAAGTAAAAACAATGGTACTTATGTATTAACTGCATTCCTTGAATATTTTTCCTGATTCTAATATCTCTAATCCTGTACTTCCTCTTAACATTAGAAGGTAAATAACCACATGTGTCAGTTGTTAATAAATGTGCTTTCCAGCCTTATTTATAATAGCCGTAAGTTGGAAAGAACCCAAATGTCCTTGAACAGAAGAATGGATGCAGAAAATGTGGTACATTTATACAATGGACTCAGATACTACTCAGATATAAAAACAATGCGTTCATGAAATTCTTAGGCAAATGGATGGAGCTGGAAAATATCATCCTGAGTGAGGTGACCCAATCTCAAAAGAACATACATGGTATGCACTCACTGATAAGTGGATATTACCCCAAAAGCTCACAATACCTAAGACACAACGCATAGACCACATGAAACTCAAGAAGAAAAGGGAAAGCCAAAGTGTGGACGCTTTGGTCCTTTCTAGAAGGAGTATCAAAAGTTTCAACCAGAGCTCCCAAAGTCTAAACCTCCAGCCTGAGAACACAAAGGGAGGGTCTCATGTCTCCACTTATGTAGGTAATTGAGGGTGGCCTTGTCAGACATCAGCGAAAGTGGAGGGCCATGGTCCACGAAAGCTTGGATTCCCTAGTGTTGGGGAATTTGAAAGCAGGGAGATGGACTGGGAGGATGTTTGAAGCACAGCCTCATAAAAATAGGAGGAGGAGGTATGGGATAAGGGATTTTGGGGGAGAATGGGAGAGGAGATAACATTGAAAGGTAAATACGTAAAATATCCAATAAAAAACAGATAAAGGGTCTGAAAAAAAGAGAGAGAGAGTTTCCTTAATTCATATTATTTTCAAAAGTTTCTAGGAGATGCTAACTGACTAAGATCTTACTTTAAGCTCTTCGCAAAAAAATTTAAGTCTCTGCTTAATATTCTCAAGAGAGATGTAAATCCTAATTTCTCTCAACAATTAATTGACAAAAGAGAAGTAATCTCACAAAAAGTAGAAGAAGCTATTATTAATCGATGTATTATATAGTCTGATTAGTTGTCGGCTGTGCTATAACAGTTCTTTGATAAAAGAGATTATTAATATAGATTTATATTTTTTAAATAATGTCCACATGACTCTCTTAGTGTGGAAGGAGCGACTGTTGGTGCTTCTGCCCTGATTTTACAAGAACTCTGAAAAACTGGCTTTAAAAACAAAAGAGGGGGAACGATATCCCCCCCCGAAGGAGTCTCATGAAATACTCTCCATCATGCCTTGTTCACTTTTAACTCTCTAAAACTGAAAGCTCATGGCAAACTTGCTGCTGACTGCCTCTGGCATCACAGAGACCAGTAAAAACTATGCCACAGATATGGAGAAGGACCCTCTTACACTTAAAGGGGATGGCCCAGACCCAGTTCCCTTATGGGGCTGAGGATTGATATGCCTGTTTGATACCACAGAAGGCACAGCTAATTGGCTACCAAAAAGATTAATGGAATAAATAGATACCCCCACAAAGCCAGGCCCAACCATAAATAAGATGAATAACAATTTACATCCAGGGAAGAGAAATCTCCCT